TCAGAGCAGTAAAACCTTGCTAACGCTCAGACACCTAGTCTAACAAAGTCAGACTCGAGTTAATTCGAGACTTGTTCTCTGGCAGTTTTGGAACGGTTCGGGGAAGGAACAAGGACCAGACACGTAGAAATTGATCAGTCGCCGATAATTCAGAAACGATCGCCGCGCGTGAATTAATATTCCTCGCTGGGAGATGTTTGTTTGAAACGTTTGCATAACGTGCTTAACAGCGATCGAGCGACGAGAACAGAGAATTTTCTGCGGTGTTCATGAATATTTCATGGCTGTACCGGGCACATCGATGCATTCTCTGGCACGATCCTTTAATCAACGAGGATCTCGATTGCATTAACACCCGGGTGATCCTCTCACCTTTACGCAAATACGTGACACAGGCTCGCTTGTGCGTGTGTGTCTTTCTTTGTAGAAATTTCGTACGATTCTCTGATTCCTTGAATTTTTCGATGAACAAACAAACTGATTGACAATCGATAGTTCGTGTGTGGAAAGTCTAAAGATTATTTGCGTTTTATATTTATCGTTGGTTTCGCGTCGAGTCCTTGACTTCTGGTTGTTACTTGACAAAGTGCAGCTCGCTAGGGAAATTGTACATACTGACAGTTAATCGTTAGTTCAATTTTTATCGTAGTGATCGATAGTTTATCACTGTTTTCATTTTGTAAATAAGCTCCTTCTTTCGTCGAACGAAAGTGAAAAGGAAATTCACGTCGAACGATTTCACGCTGAATAGACACACAAATGGTACTTTCCAAAGATATTAGTACGCAATCAGAAGAAAAGGGAATGTGACTTCTCACGCTGATCAAAGTTCATTCTAGAAAGCATAGGAAGAAAATATCGATCGTCTCGTAGTCGGTTTCTCCGCTTAGAGCAGACACGGGAAACGTCGCCGTGACGGTAGAATTATTCATACCTCGTTTAGTCCGAATCCATAGTCAACTTGAAAATACAGCCACGAACGAACTACGAAAGTATATCTATTTCACTGCTTTTGGAACAACATAGGGAAAAGGGGATTCTAGGTGATAGTAATAAAACATTTTTTAGAAACGATAAACTCCCAATTTCGAACCAATTTCCAAAAGCCTGTCTCGTCCAGTTCCAGTTCCAATTTCCCTCGAAAGTTCGTTCCGCAAAAAGATTGCTTCCAAGAGAAGACGAGGCAGCGAATTGGTCGTCGAATCGCGGGGGAATGCGCGTGACCTCGTGGTCGCCGAGCGAAACGCCTCCCAGAGACGCGCGCGACAGCCAAATATCCCGACGTAAAATTGGACGCGCGTTGGCGTGCGATGATCCGCAGGCCGTACCAGAAGAAATCGCCGACCCCGAGCGGCGGTGGTGGCAGCAGAACGGGTTGGCGATCGCGCAGAAGCATCACCACGGCAGGTGCACCGGCTCACCAGCACCACGTGATCGCCAGTGCAGCTGCGACTGCACAGGCCAGGATGCAGGCCGAGCAGGGGAGCATCGGCGAGCTGCGGGGCTACCACAACCTCAGGTCGAGGAGGCACACATTGGCCAACGTTCGGTGAGTGATCGTTTGACTCGTTGACATTTACAGCCGAACCATTTACTAACTGCCATTTGGGATCGCTATCAAATTGGAAATGACCAATTTCGGATTTTCCATGGAATTCTGGTTGTCGGTGATTGTGTCAGATCCGACGACGAAATCTCTGTCAAATCGCTGACGTAACTGATACCATTTGGAACTAGGGAATGATCACTAGAGATTTCTCGCAGAGATTTCGTAGACGATGTCGTTTTCTTTTCTACGACGTCACGTAATTCAAGGCTTGTGCCGTGAATTCTTGTCTATTTTTCGTGACGATGAAAGTGTCGAATTTTTCATAGACATAGAAATAAATTTTTGTCCATTCCTTGTAACAAATGAAGATGTCAAATTTCTGATACAATCTGATTATAACTAACGCTAGAATTAACTGGTGACAATTTTTCACAGACATTCTATAAATATTCTTCAAGATGTAGAAATAAAGACTTTTTTTCGTCCATTCCTTGTAATAATGAAATCTGTCAAATCTCTAATACAATTAATGTTAAAACTAGCACCGACAAGACGACTAATTTGTAATTTTCCACAGAGATTTCATAGATTTCCCTTCAAAATATAGAAACAAATTCTTGGTAACAATGAAAATGTCAAATTTCTGACACAATTGATGACAACGACAAAATTTCGTCTGTTCCTCGCAAATAAATTAATATCTCTCTGACGCAAGTCCAACTGATGATCTCCTTAAGACTAGTTTGATCAAAGTAACCGAAGAAATAAAATTTAATATTTCATCGTTCCAACAACTATGTTTGATATTTAATTATTTTAACATTGAGTATTAGCTTTGTCGTTCCAATACAGATCAACGATAGCCCGAAAGTTTTTGCCTCGTGGATCCACTTGTTTAATATACGTCGATGTTGTCACCGAACGGAGTAAATCTCTCGGCTTTTCGGGATTTCGTTTTGATTTGGATCCGTTAGTTTCGTTTGGCTTAAATAGATCTTGACGCGTGGAACAGCAATATCTGTCATTCCGGGTGCCGCCGAGTCTGTGATTTTTACGAATTTGTCGTCCTGCTGGATCCTTCGTTTACCATTTTCATTCGTCACTCTGTGTCGAGATCCTTTATCTCGAAACTGAAGAACCTCAAACGTTACTTTGACACTTGGCTGTCCAGAGAAGAACTCTGGAAACGTTTCAAAAAGCAAATACCAAATTGCAACAACAATTCACAGTTCAAAAAGGTGAAAATATGACTCCAACGTTTCAACGCTACCGAACAAACGTAGTAATAATAAAAGTGAAGCACTTTCGAAAAGTGCGTGCAACATTTCACCGATTTAGCGACGCGCATTTATCGCGTTTCGTCGCAGTAGATAATATTTCGTTGACCTCTCGCGATGCTTTACTTGTTGCATTGCCGGTATTGATTGTTTAGTGGAGCAGCCATTGGGATGCTGCCCCCAGCTAGACGGTGTCTAGCTTGTTTTACACCAACCGCCCTTTTCTTTTACGATCACCGTGCTCGTCGCGTGGGAAACGTGTTCTCTCCTTATACACTTTTTTAACAAGTTTCTTGCCTCCTCGTTCGACGAGGCAACGCGCATTTCGGTCTGGTTTTTAGGATTCTGCTTGGAAATAGAACGAAAGATGAGTCATGCGCAAAGTGAGTTTGATACGTCTATTTTCGAGGCGAGAATTAAGTCGATCGAGAATGGAGAGACTCATTTGGAACCGATTCGTTTCGGTTTGATGACAAATTGTAATTGCCCCGTGCCAAATAATCCATCTGATGTACGAGGTAACGAAATTTCGTGAATCACGAAAGGCGGCTAATAATTTCTCGTCACCTTTTAATAATCTTCGGCCGCTATTAATACACAGATCAACGATACCATGCACGACACGTCGAAACGAAAATAGTTTCCTAGTTGTTGCATAGCCGAGTTTTAAACACCGGTTAGAAGCTTCCGTTACAAAATTGTCAATTTACCCCAGATTTCACTTCACGAAATTTCCAGCTTTTATTTCAAATCTCTGTCTCTGGTATTTTTTTCGATTTAAAAGTAAAAATAGAAAGGAAATCAATACCGCGGCAAATCCGCGGAAAATTTTACAAAAAAAAAAGAAAAAAGAAAATGGAAAAAAAGAAAAGGAAAACATTTTATACGGCGAATGTTGAAAGGCAAATCGGATTGAAAATTTAATCTCTCCTCTTCTCTTGCCGAAGCCGACCTGGGTGGAACGAGCGGCAAGTGACGAAAATAAAAAAATTTCGAGATGAACGATCGACGATTTATTACGAGATCACGGCCCACGAACGAATTTACATTTTGCACGATCGCAAAGCGGCGTTCAACCACGATACGCACCGAATGTGGCGAGGATTTTCCTTCTCCTTCTCTCACTTGCTCCTCCGTGCCGCACAGTTGGATAATCTGAAATTTAATTTCATGCTGACGGTTGATCCTATTATGCGTTGCTTCGATAAAAGGACTCTCCCCCCCCCCCCCCTCGAGGACAATAACCAAGCGTTATCGATTCGATTTCAAGCGCCATTCAGTCGGCCGCATTATTGGAAATTACATACCATTTCCTTTGTTACATCCATCTTTGTTCTGTTTCTCTTTCTCCCCGTAGGCTCTTGATAAGCGTCGAGAGTGAATCGTATGGTCACTGTTCATTCGTACATCAGTGGCCGACAAGTATTATTCGAAGCAACTCCGTCGATAGTCACCGAGCTGAAACGTTACAGAGAGATAGGCGTAGCTCGGTGAATTCATTCTCACACACCGTGATACAGAATAAATTCGCTCGATCCCTTTCGCGGCTTTCGATTCCAGCTGTTCGTTTCGATTTCGATTGTTTCGGGTATTTTGACATCGAGGAACGATAGATATATATCTCGGCCAGAAAGGAGATCGTAAATTCGTCGGGGGAGAGGAGAGAGATCGTACGACGATATCAGATGAAACTTTCTATTCACCACCACCGGCGGAAGTCGGCGATACGCGTATCTTACGGTAGATACAAAGTCACCGATATAAACGTACCCCGTGAAAGTATAGACTCTCATTGTCAGTTGTCTATAAGATGCGAGATAAGCAACAGCGAACGTTCACACTGCTAGCGAAAGTTTGGATTCTCGTCGACTCTCGTAAGTTTCGACGAAACTTAGCCGGCTTGGAGCACGGTTCTTGGGAAAATTCTTCGTGTTAGAAATCGTGTCTTGAACGAGATGGCCTTCCATTGTCTCACAGTTCAGTTGTTCAATTTCAACGAACAGAAATGCAACATTTCCAGCTAACAATATACTACACGTCTACGATGCACGAACACCAGATTTCAAATTTTTAGTTGCCGTTTAATCGATTTGTGCCAATAATAACGTTCAACAAACGTGTCTCTCCTAAACCAACTGTCCTCAACTCTTCCTCTATCGTGATTCCTTTTCAAAAGACAAAGCACAGAGATCAGTCGGGATCACCGCAGGCACAGTGAACCTTCTTCGTGACCCCAGGCTTCACCTCTATCAACCCACTGCAAGCACAGCCCACTGTGACACTCTGATCCTCGTCACTGTCATCCATTCTCCTTGGCTTAGCCTTGGGAATCTTCGCCATGCAGATCTGGTCCACTGATTTCCTTCTCGCCTTCTCGCGACAGGGCAGAGCCTTCCTAGCCTCAGTTTCACAGGTGCAGACCTCTTGATCTCTCGTCGACTTCTTGGTAGTTCTCTTCAATGGGTCCTGCGCTCGCAGAGTCTGCTGAAGCTTCTCCAGTTTGCATTTTGGACAGACTGTCTCGTGCTGCGTCGGCTGATCGGTGCCAGGACTAATTCTCGTTCCGCTTATTGGAAGGTTTGACACGATTCTAAACACTGGTGCCTGTCCCTCTAGTTGCGCTCTAGATGTTTGCAGAGGAGTGTGCATGGTCCTGCCACATTCGCAACAGTTGCATTTGCCCTCATCTCGATACAGCTCTCCAGACTTCTTGCCGTAGTAGGTGGATCTCAGTTCCCTTTCTGCTTCCTGTTTCTTCTCGGCTCGCAGAGTTTGGAGCACCGCTGATAGAGGATGGTCGGGCGGAATGAGGCCACGAGCACCAGGAGAGACGCTACGGGGAACAGTAGGGTTGACAGGTGGACCGCCAGTTTCTGTCGCGCTGATATGAACGGAACTAATATGGCTCTTTTGTGTGTGCGAGCTTTCGGTGACAGTCATAGCCGCGAACTGCTCCTTCAGAGGCCTCTCGTAATTCAGCAGTCGTTCCACGGTCTCTGGGTCAGGGTCTATAGCTCTTGTGATGGTCACCAGTTGCGGTTGTGCTTGTCTGGTGATTCTCGGCGTCGTTTGTGTCTCCACGTCTATGACCGTTTGCGTCACCACTTGGACAGTTTCGATTCTTGTGATCTCCGTCTGGGTAATCTCTATCTTCTTCTTGGTAGGCTGTAAGACGATAATGCGAAAAATAGTTGAAGTTGTGAGGAAGATTGTGAGAAAAGTATTTTTAAAGACACGAAATAATTTGTCACTAACAGGCGGAGGTACAGGTGGGCAGGTGCAAATAACTTCTTCCTCTTCTACAGGTAGCACTTTCCATATAAGTATCTCTTCTTCTGATACTTTCATCTCTTCTGGCAATAATTCTACATCTATTTCTTCTTCGACAGCCACTGGAACTTCTTTCACTTCCTCCAGTTTCTTCTCTTCCAAAGGAACCCATTTAACTTCTTCTTCTTCTTCTTCTTTTGGCTCTTCTTCCACTTTTTCTTCGATTTCCACATCAATCTCTTTTTCCTCCACCACCCTGACTGGGACATCTTCTTCTATCTTTGGTAATGGTTCTCTGACTTCTTCTTCAATTTTTTCTTCCTCTTTCATCGGAGGGATCTCATCCTCGTCCGCTTCGGGGATCGTTGGCATTTTCTCCGGCTGCTTCTCCACTTCTTTCGGAGTTTCCTCCAGCTTTTCTTCCAATATCGCGTCTTCTTGCAGTTGAGGACTCACGGCAGGCTCCAACGCTGTGATTGGCGGCTCAGGAGGGCGCTCCAATTCGAGTTTCAGTTCCACCGCCGCGTCAGGTTCGACTTCAACTTCCTCTTCTCCTATCTTCGGCCGGACTTCGGCTTCCGCAACGTCTGGCTTCGCTCGTATTTCACTTTCTATCTCAAGAAATTTTTCTTCGGGCCTTTTCACCGTCGCTTCCTCCCGAGATCTCGGCATCGCCGCTATTTCTTTCACATCGGTCTGAAAGGAATCAATGGGCTAACTTTCGATAGGAGATGAAGAAGTATTGGTTATCGAGCTTCTATTTTATCGAAGTTGGATTACGCTTTATGTAACATCCACGCGTTCTTTTCTCTCACATCTATATACGATTTTTTCTCTTTCACAAGATATTATCTAACTAATCTAAAATTACAATTTCATACGTTACGTTCTCGTGAATTGGAAGATTAAAAATTTGAAATTTCAGAATTTTTGAAATCAATTTGAAATTGTAATGTTCAATATCCAGAAATATTGATTCAGTGCCCAGAAATTCGCTGCAACTCTTAAATTGTAGAGTTGCAATGAAGTTTACGTTGGATTTGAAATGAAGAATTTATCGCACTCACTCCAGTGTACGCTGCCATATCAGTCGCCAACTGATCGGCTTCTTTCTTCACGTCCACGCAGTCAGGGCACTCCTGCATTTAGAAATTAGATATATTCGGTAATTCTTTATTTAAGGAATAAATGTTACACTACAAAGAGTACCGCGATTGTCGTTCGAATAGTGTCAACATCACTCTGCCACGATAACATTTCTTTTCTTGGAACCAAGATGTTGTCCCAGTCAATTTTGTCTTCTTTATATTTTGCAATTGGTGCTTCTTCCATTTCAATTTTCTTAGGTTCAGTTGGAGAGACTCTTTCAGTAGGTTTGGTATCTTCTACAGGTTTAACAGGACTAATTTCTTTGACAGGCCTACTTTGATTAGTAGGTCTAATCTCTTCGACAGGCTCAGCTTTGATTTCTTTAATAGGTCCGACATCTTCAACAGGCTTGGGTTTAATTTCTTCGGTAGCTTCAATTTTTTCAACAGGCTCAATTTTAGTTTCTTCAATAGGTCTGACATATTCAACAGGCTTGGGTTTAATTTCTTCGGTAGCTTCAATTTTTTCAACAGGCTCAATTTTAGTTTCTTCAATAGGTCTGGCATATTCGACAGGCCTAGGCTTAATTTCTTCGGTAGCTTCAATTTTTTCAACAGGCTCAATTTTAGTTTCTTCAATAGGTCTGACATATTCAACAGGCTTGGGTTTAATTTCTTCGGTAGTTTCAATTTTTTCAACAGGCTCAATTTTAGTTTCTTCAATAGGTCTGGCATTTTCAACAGGCTTGGGTTTAATTTCTTCAGTAGGTCTGATCTCTTCAGCAAGCTCAGCTTTAGTTTCTTCGACAGGTCTGATGTCATTTAGTAGTTTGATTTTTTCAACAGGACTAGGACTAGCTTCTTCACCAGGTCTAATCTCTTTAACAGGTTCAGCTTTGATTTCATCAATAGCTCTGATATCTTCTTCAGGTCTAGTTGCTTCAATAACAGGCTCAGCTTTGGTTTCTTCAATAGGTCTGATGTCTTCTGGAAGTCTAATTTCTTCAACAGGCCTAGGTTTGATCTCGTCAGTAGGTTCATAGTGTTTCACAAGTTTAACATCTTCAGTTTCTACATCTTCCACAAGTCTAATTTCCTGTACAGGTTTAATAGCTTCCTCAACATATTCAATGTCCAGCGCAGACTCGTACTCCTCAACTTCGATATCCTCTGCATGTTCGACTTCTTCCATGGGCGTGACTTTCTCGACAGTTTCAACTTCTTCTGCAGGTCGAGTTTCTCTGACAGGTTCAATATCCTCCACTGTAACTTCCTCGGCAACGATTTCCTCTTCCTCGACTGGCTCAACAGTTTTCACTTCTCTTGCAATCTGTGTCTTTAGCAGCCTTTCATGCAATTCCACAGCCTCTGCTGTTTCTCGAATCGTCATCCCTTCCTCGTCAAACTCCCAACCATACTTTTCCAACAATTCCTGCGGCGTGACGCGATTCTCGTTCAAAGCGATCGTCTCCTCCTCGGTGAGTCCAGTCTCCGAGAACACCAGATCGTTGCAGACGAAGCCTGGGGCGCAGATATAATCGTCCCCGTATTTGTCCAGCTCGGAGAGAGAATCTATCTTGGCGAGATAGTCTTGAGCTTGCTTCAGTCTTTCGTTCTCGTAAATGAAATCGTCCGGGTGAATCACCATTTGAACGTCATCCACCGGTATCAAGTCTCTCCTGAGGACCTCCATGGCCACGTGTTCCACGTCAGGTTTTACTTCCAATTCAGCATCCGCGACGTCGGGCCTCGTCTCCAAATCACGGTCCACCACGTCCGGTCTGGCCTCCACGTCAACATCCTCTAGCTTCGGAACAGCCATGATAAATTTCTCCTCCAACTCCTCTGTAACCAGAGTAGCCAGCTCCTCGACGTCGGCCACATCGTCGACTCTCCCCACCTCTTCGTCTTTCACAGGCGCTGCAACCAGCATCTCCTTCTCAAGAACGTCGGCAAAGTCGTCCTCCTTGCCTACCATCGCCTCTATCTTGATCACGCTCACGTATTTCTGCAGTTCGTCTCTGCAAACGCCTAGTCTTGCTCGTAGCTCCTCTATCACGTCCTCCAGCTGGCAGATCCGATCGGCCATTCGTTGGTTCGCCGCCGTCTTCGTGTCCAGTTGCTCTTGCAAAGCGGTGACGGTGCTCGTCGCGTCGGCGTCCAGCTTACACCAGAGCTCGTCCGCCTGCTGGAGGGTCTTCATGTATGCTTCCTCGCGACTCTCCAGCTCGGCGATATTTCTCCTCATGTACACCTCGTTCTCCGCTAATTGCTGCAGCTTCTCCAGGCACTCGATGTCCGCCGACTTGATGGACGCGCAGCTCGGTACCTTTTCCAGCCATTTCTTTTTGCACTCTGCCACTTCGCACTCCCCTGAGCGTCAGTTAGACTTGAATTAAGCTTGGTCGTAACTAGGGCACTTGGTGGATTTTCGTTGAATACATCGTATCTCGTTTCTTTGTGAGAAATATCAGGGGTACCCACAAGTAACAAGTCGTTCTCTTCAAATTTAATAAACATTGTCATCTAGTGGCAATAATTTAACTTGTTGCATAATTCTAGCTATTAAAATATATTGACATTTAGTGTGCTTATTGGTAAATTATATCGTGGATTCAGACTGTATTAATTCTCAAATGAAATAAAATTTTGTACAGTATCAGGAAACGACATTGTCCCTAATATTTTCAGTTGCTTCTGCGTTCTTTCGAGTTCACCACGTGAAAAACTAACCCTCGCAGGCTCCGTCGTCTTCCACTTTGACGGCGGCCTCTCTGAGCTTCTGAACCTCGGCGGACAGCTGTCCAATTTTCAGTTGGGTGTCCTCTCGCAGCCTCTTGGCTTCTTCCAGCTTCCTGCTCCTGTCCTCCAACGTGGCTTCCTTCTCCGCCCAGAGAGCCCTGGCGTCTTCCATCCTCTTCAGCGCCTGCTTCCTCTCAGCCTCCGCTTCCCTCACTCTGCAGTCGAAGTGCCGGCTCGGCGTGCTCGGGCAGCACGCCTCTCCCGATGCTGGACCTTCGAACTGCCTCCTCAAGGCTCGCTCGAGTCCAGGAACGCAGCCGCCCCGAGACATCCTCCACATGTTCCACACCATCACGGCCGGCATCGAACACTCCAAGACGTTCAACCGCTGCTTCAGGTCACCCTGCTGCCTCTCCAGCTCGACGTTCCTCAGCTCCCGTTTGCCGATCATCTCTCTTAACCGACGGTGACACTGTCGATGCAGCTTCGTCGCTTTGCTCCTCTGTAGCTGACCGAGGTTAGGCTTCTCGTCCTCTCGAGACTTTCTCAACTCTTCCTGGCTCTTGGAAACCTTCTCCTCGTTGGGTTCTTGCTGGCTCCTGTTGGCTCCAGCACTCGGTGAACCTCGAGGATTGTCTCGCGCTGAGGGCAGAGCTTCCGATGGTTCTGCCTCCTCTGGCCTTGGTAAACGAACCGATCGAGTCTCCGAAGCCGCGGATGGAGACTTTAGGGTAATCTCGGAGGCTTTTGGTAGATCAGGGTCTGCCTCCTCGTTGTCCGCCATGATTTCTTTGTTGTTTTTCGACTTTTGGACAGGTTGCAATGCACCTGAAAGTATCGATGAATCCCTACTATTTCGCGACCGACGTAGGTTTTATTTTATTTTCAGAACGGTGTCAATGTTGAAATATTCAGTGTGCCGGTCGGATTAAAATGTTGCTCCAACTTTTTATTTCTGCCTTCGTCAAGACGAGCTCATTATTTATTCGAGTGATGTTTGTATTAAAGCTGATCGGATTGGAGAATTGTTTTATTATAAATTCTGGATCAAGTTATCGTTGTTGCCATGAATTAATTAATTATAATAATTTGGACGTTTAGAATTGTTCAAATATAATCAATAATAAAATTTTTCTCTATTGGTGTATTTCTAAATTTATTTTTGACGTGTATACAATTTTCCTATAAATACGATATATATATATAATATTTTAATTATATATATTTTCCTATATAATCGTTATTTCATTTTATATTTGAATCCAGATTATCAATAATTTTTCCCTGCTTCTCCTACTTTTCCATCTCGAGATAAACACACAGTGAGGACACATCGTTTTTATTTTCAAATTTCGATGCATCCCTTTCCACGGGATATTGCTGATCCATCGAGATCGCTCGCGAGGCGTTAGGAGTGCGAAGGTTTGCCGAGAGATAGCAACTCATCGCGGAAGAATTCACGAGCATTCCAGCTGTGAACGGACGAAGCCATCGAGAACCATGTCTCCCAGGGTGGAAGATACACAGAGAGATAGTAGGGAAAAGGGAGAATGCACACGTACGAGGATAAATGCTTATGGAAAATGCATGCTCGAGCTGTTCCGCTGAAAGTTGAGAGAGATAGTCGAAGGGGCAAAGGGAGTTTATCCGGGTAAGAGTTTCCAAGAGGGAGCTGAATTCAGAGTTTGGTCAAGTGTTAAATGGAATAGAACGATATATATATATATATACACGAAGTAATCGAGTCGTCTCTGGCGTGCTATTGTGGTTCAACGCAACTGTCGCTGCGTCGTTTTGTTCGCGACGTGTACGCGAACGGAACCTGTAACGCGTCGAAAATACGAACAATCCGTCGCGACGATAATTTCAATTTGTCTCATTCACGATGTGTTTCAAGAGCGATAACTCTTGAAATCAATTTTCGAATCAAGTTAATTCAATCGTTGATGAAGGGAAAATAAATGGAGTTATCTGAAATGTTTAATACTTTAATATAATTGAGGTGTTACGTTGAAATAATCCAAGGAATTATTAATTGAGGAGAAATTTTCAATTTTTCAAGTGAATTTCGCCTAGTTTGAAGACGCTTGAGCAAACGTCTAGAATTTAAAAAGTAGTTCTCACGAATTTTAAAGGAATATTAACCTTGGACATAAGGGAGAATCTCAGTCTTACCTGGTAGAATATCTCTGAAGTGTCTTGATAACATTATTCAGTTCGAGTGGATTATTTCAGTGAGAAAGCAGGCCGCGTTTCAAGCTGTCGACCATCGTCTTTGACTCCAGTTCGGTTGAAGTCGCATGCTGGTGAAAAAAAAAAACACGGAAATTTTGAACGGAGTCCAAACGCGTGACTAAACGCCTGATATATCAGACAACCATCATCGCCGTAGATTGAACAGATCCGGTGGAGAGTCACGATTCAGTCTCGTGTTCACTCGATCAATTTCTCTAATTTCGTTTGAACGTAGCCACATCGATGACATCGCGGTGGGTTCGTGTCGATCGATCGATTCTTTTCGCCTGAATTTCGCGTCGAACGCCAAAACCAATGTACAACAAACATTTGACATTTGCATTTTCGAACCGCGCCAAAAGTTATTTCCTGAATTTTCGAAAATTCTTCGAAACGCTGTAATGATTTCTGTTTTTTCTTTCTTTTTATTTTTTTTATTTTATTTTCGAATCCACAGAGGCGACATTATAAAATATTTCTGCGTCTCTTACGTACTGTGTTAAATTTGGATTTTTATAGTTTATTTTTTATCTTTTATTTGTGGGTTTTTATAATCTATTTAGTACACATTATTTATTATTTTTTATGATGTAATAGACAAGATTCGATTTCAAATTTAATTTCACTGCAAAATGAAATGCTTTCTGAAGAAAATTGCAAAAGACAACCGAAGAATGTGACAGACGCGAAGAATTTTGTACTTTTGTACTCTACTTTTCTTGCTTTTTTGGATACTCTACTCTCTTTCTTTTTTGGATAAAATCTCCAACGCAGGAGGAACCGATCGTTCGAAGGGGGCAGGAGGGTGCTCCGAAATAAGAACAAAGGCGGTTTGGGCGCAGGGTTAAAAATCAATTTTTTCCGGCTCGGTTTACCGCAGAGGAACAACGTTAAAGGATAAACCGGCCTAAGCCCGGAAAAGCCCTATTTTATGTCGAACCAGCCTGAAAAGGGGGTTGACCTCGCTCACCCTCCACTTTCTCCGCTCGCCCTTCTTTCTGCACCTCTCGCAAAATCAATAGTATCGGTGTACCGAGTTTATCCCGCGCTTCGGGGCCAGCCTATAGTCGGCAAGTTCCAGGAAATTTCGTCAACGGCAATGATTTTAGATCATTTATGGATGAGAGGACGAGCAACGACATCGTTTGGAATTTTGCAACCGCACTCGCGAGAATTGTTTATCTCGCCGTTTCGTTTCTTCCTCAGTTCACTTGGTCCCAGTCTTGGTCGTATCTTTTATATCTCGAATTTTTGCTTACTTGGACTTTCGTGATTTTCAGTCACTTTGAACGTGTCAGATGGATCCCAATAATTCTGACATCACTGAATTCAGCTTGCTTAATTTGCAATGAGCCTAAAAGCTCTAAAATTCATTTCTCCTTCTAACTTCTAAATTCCAAGGTTAATTTCCCAAATTAAAATTCGTCCAAGATTTGAAGAAAAAAGGAAAAAAAGAAAAATGTCTTGAAACTGGTCAAACTTAATTCATCTCGCCAAAAAGGAAAAGAAAAGCGCACAAAATGTCAAAGCGTAACGAGGAGGATCGTTTCTTATAAATTAGAAACAGGACGCATTTAATTGAGATCTTAATTGCGCGGGAAGTTTGATGCCCCGTTAATTGGCCCTATTCAGCGCCCCGAAAGGGCAGCCAAGTTTCCAATTCGCGACTGAACAAGCCTGAGCTGACTGACGACGCCGGCCGGACTCCACACCGCGAACATTATTTCGTTATTTGGCGTGTCACAAGGTGTAAAGCAACAATCAATTAGACGCCGTAGGTAATAATTCGCTTTTTATTCTGCGAGAACGTTTTATTCTACCTTGTAACGCCGCGTATGTTGCTTGGAAACTTTCCTCGAATCACGTTTCAACAGTTCTTACGGTGAAAATTCTGCGTGACACTAATAATACGCGTAACTCGTGATCAGTCGCGTTCAGCGTTTCAAAGATAATTGATTCATGTCGCCGTTTCTCGAAATCTTTCTTCACGAAATTTTCATTTTCCCTATCAGATGATCCCTCCAATAGAATGCTCGTATATATACATATATATATTGTTTAATACCTGACGTCCTTCTCTTTGACCTCTCATTAAATTTCCAGCATTCACCGAGTCGTCCAATTTGTCGACGTTTTCACCCCCCCCCCCCCTCCTCCCTTTTCCCCAAAGTCGCAAAGCACGTTATTATTGCGTCGTAATTGAAGAGGACAATCATGGAAATCAGCCTAGAGTAATTCGTTTCTATCGATGGAGGGTGGAAACAGGGGTGTGATTATTAACTTCGTTGCATTTGCGTAATTAGTTTAATAAAAATTTTCGTGCTTGGAAAGTAAAGAAACTCTCAATTATAAATTTTCTGTAGTAAATATTCTACTGTTCGTGTATTTATTTCCATATGGGGAGGGGGGGGGGGGCGGGGTGGCATGCATCAACGTACGCCCGGGAAACGAGATTTCATTATGCATGTTGCATGCTGATCGGATGCAATGTTTCTCTTCAATTATCCATCTTTTCCTTAATGGGCACGCGTACGAGTACGTAGAATATTAATATCATTCAAATTGGATGAAATTTTATAGTAATTTATACATATTGTGGGAATAATTGTTTTACAATCCGAGGAGCACGGCGATTCGTGCATGTAACGTGAATTATTTAACAGATGGTAATATAATCTTTGTATGACATTCAGTAGTGTAAGTAAATCATTCATAGAAAAATGATTTCCCAATTTCCACGTGTTCCATGTGAAACGTTCATTCTAGTCCTGATAGAAGTAGTACTCGTACATTTCAAAACATTCCTAGAACGTTGATCGTTAATTCACTCGTCCAATTAGCGATTTTCAGTAGTACGAGTCAATGATTTAAACACTGTCCACGAAAACGAAGGAAATTTGGCGAGTTGGGGTACGCGTTATCTTCGGGTTATACTCGTATCAACGCTTTGTAGCTACCGCGACGCAATTGAATATTCACCAACTTAAAATTTGAAGGCTCGAGAGTAGTATAGGTCAACCACTTACGAAATAAACACTTCTCTCCGCTTATTTCGAGTCAAGATGCATGAAAGAATCAAACAAACTTGTCGGCGATCGCGCTCCAATTATTCACTCGTGGCTGCGAGACAAATTTCGTCCGAAACTGACAGTAGCGCGAATCAATAATTCGCCGGTGCAGCGGTGAAAATTGATCTCCACGCTTTCGTTACCTCTCCTCGATACTCGGGAGTTCTTCACCTAATAGACTCTCAGATGTACTGTTACATCAGAGATGTTCGAGCTGAAAAGAACAGAATCGAGTCTGGGAAACGGACGAGTGAAACGAATGAAAATCCTTCTCGCGTGCTAATGAATTTTATTGTGTAGCGCGAGAAGACGACGGCTGGCCTCATGTTCATTTGTACGTGAAATAAATTAAATTCGAAATAAATTAAAGAAACGCTTTTGAACTCGTACGAAACACTTTTGGTTGCGAGGAATTTCATGCTTTTGCTTGAAAGATAAAATTTCGTGAATAATTGTAATTCGTTTTTTGGCATTCAATTTT